CTTTGTAGTTTTGAACCTCTTGCCACACGTGTCACACAGGGAGGGCCTCTCGTCACTGTGAATCTTGTGATGCACATTCATCAGTTTGCTATAGCTGTAAAATAAAGAAGCAAACAGATAATAAATATACTTTCTTCACATGAATCAATGAAGGAAGAAATGGGGAAAGTCCTCGCTATTTATTCCTTGATTTGTCTGTCATCTCTTGGATATGCCGTACCTTAAAGAATGTGAGAACGTCATAGATACTCTTAAATTACCTTACATTTCCTTACATTGCCATTTTCTAGATATATACTAAAAGTCCTTTATACAAACAAATACCATCATTTAAAGTCTATAACAACATACATTTAGTAGATAAAACAACTGCTAAAATTTAAACCATACAAATTAATCACTTACAAATAACAGAGTTAAAAGGAATAAAATATATAATTTTGAAAGACCAGCTAGCTCAAAACATTATGACAGACTATTACTAGGTTAACAATAAAATATTTATATATATAATTTCAGAAATATTAAAAAGTTGTATAGATTCATATGGGCTAGATATAATTACACATTTTAGTCTGCTATCACTTTAAAAGAAGATAAACATACACATATGAACTTGCTAAAACAAATAACAAGAAATAGGGTGAGAAATTAAACTTACCTATAACACTTGTAGTCACACTTATCACACTTGTGCAAATCTATGTCAATGAGGTGGTGTCGCCAAAGGTGAAGAGCCAAGTCCCTCCATGTTCCAAACTTTGTGGGGCACTCCTGGCACTGCATGGAATTCTCTACATGACACTTCCGGTGATATGAAATATTGCTCTCGCTCTTCAGCCTTACATTACAGCCATTTACATCACACTTGATACCATGGCTTTTGTCAGGCAAACGAACTTTGGAATTACTCCTTTTCAATTTGATGCCTGCATTTTTGTTGTACAAAGGCTGATCACCTTTGCCAAGGTACGTTTTCACGGAGCTAACACTACCGCTGTCATTCGTTGTGGTACTGTCATTGGTGTCGTCATCATCATAGTCCTGATCGCTCCTATTCTCTCCTCTGTTTTCTAATTCTATTGTCAATTGGAGGTCTTCATCCTCCTCTGTCTCCTTTTCACGCTCTTTCTTTACTATTAAGTCACCCTCTTTTGGCTCTGCTTTTATGAATACCCCTATAGTCCCATTGGGTTGTCTCTCTTCTTCTACTTTCACCTTTTTCTTTCCCTTGCTTGATGCTGCTTTGGGATTCTCCACTTTCACCACAGATTCTTTCTGTTTCTTTTTGCTTGACTTTTCTTTACTTTTACTCGGAGGATTGGGTGGTGGAGAACCCTCAGACTGGCTGCTCTCACTCCTTGGCACAAAGACTTTAACTCTTTTTGACACAGGTCTTTCCACCTCCTCTTCTGATTCTTCGGATTCTGAGAGATACTGACTGTGCATTTCTTTCATGTGTTTGACCATCAGGCTCCTGTCCTGACTCAAACAGGAACATAGGCGACACTTGAAGCAAGCTACCTGTTGTACAAGAAGTTCATTCTTTCTGAATATTTCTTTCCTCTTCTCACTATGACCTGTATTTTTGGCACTACCTTGACCTTCAGATTTCTTTGAGCTATTTGAATGTACCTTCTGTGTTCCTAAGGACACCTGTGATGATGAAAAATTACCACTGGATGTCCCTGGAGCACTATTTTTTGTGGAAGCCACTGGTGTGGAGGACTTTGTGGTTTCAATTAGCACATTTGAGTCCTGGTGTAGAAGTAGTCTACTGGAAGACTCTAATTCTGAGCTTAATTTCAGCTGCTCATTTTCTGATTTATTGGTGGCAGCTTTCAGAGCACTAGTGAAAGTAAGGTCTGCTGAGTTTGTTGAGGAGGATTTCTTTGAATTATCAGCCTTTTCTGGTGAATAACCAAATGTACCTGGACCTGTGCTTAGGGAGGCATCAGACTCTGAAAGACTATTCATGTCAATACACATGTTGGAATTTTCTAAAAATTGATCAAGGTCAGCTGTTGTAGCCAAATTTGAGAGCAAAGCTGGAAGTGGACCTTGGTTTGATGGACAGGCTTTATTATTTGATACTCCGCTTACAATGAAATCAGATGTTATATTTGGTAAACTAAAACTTGGAAGTGGAGGGGATGGCAATCCTTGGAGTGGTGCAGTGTCTCCTCCAATCCCAGGTCCAAGAGAAGCCTCTGTTACCAGAGCATTTGCATTGCTGTGAAGCTCATCACCTGCAGAGCCAGTCAAAGAGGCACTTAGGCTCAGATCACTCTCATCACTACGGTGCAACTCTGACAGGAGCACATCACCAGTGTGCGGAAGTCGGCTCTCTGATAACCCCATTAGTGACAGACTTGTACCACCCCCCAGCAAGGTATCAGTGCTTGATCCTCTATTTAGAAGATCTGCTAATCTTACACGAGTTGTACCTTCCTGGGAAGTGCTTGATGTTTTAGAGGTACCATAAGTTCCAAGTGATGTTGGGGAGGAACTGCCTGAAGTAACAACAACTGTGGGGAACATTGGATCTATAGAAGTTATCAAGCCTGATTTTGTACAAACACTTCCCTGTGGTCTAACAGGCATGTCTAGGAGCATTCCTGTTTTATTCAACCCTTCTGGTACACACATAACATTATAAGATCTCAGGTTTGCATTACCTTGATTCACTGATTGTAGGTTGGTTCTCTTCATATTTTTTTCTATTGCTGAATGTCCCACAGAAGTGATATTATTTGATGCATTACTTGTTGTTACTTGGCTCAATTGTGTTGTTGGTACAGTAGTGGACCAAATTCTGAGTTGATCACCTTTTAAATCATCTAACTGTGGGTCAACAATTTGTTTCGTAACCTGAGTGCCAAGAATCTGCTGTAAATTATCAAATTGTCTTTGCTGAGATGTTTGTCCCTGAGCCATAGAAGAAGGAAGTATTAAAGTATTATCATTAACCTGGAAGTTTGTTGAAAGTCCTACAATACTATCTAGTTGCAAAGTTGTAGCAGTTTTATCTACCGAATCACCATACCCACTGGAACCATGCAGAGCCCCTGTCACTGTGCATATGCTGGCACCTGGGTTGTTGGCTGAAGTAGTCAGTGGACTAGTGCCACGACTGGATGCTGCAAAAGCCATTACTGAACTGTCTTCAAGCTCTTCTATGCGTTGTCCACTAGTGGTTCTAATTGTTGGATTCGGCAAAAGGTGAGCAATTTCTGCCGGTTTTGATACTTGGGACGGAATGTGAGGTTTGACAGTATCAAGCATTTTATTCAACAATCTGTTATTAGAAATCAAAGAATTAAAGTGTGCATTATTCTTCTTGACTTCTGAGGGTGCTATACCTCCCTGTGGAATTACATGCAAACTACTGACTGGTGCAGTTGTAAGTTGAGTAGTATCTAACTGAGTTGTTGTTATATCTGAATTTACTAGCTGCTGCACAAGAGGTACTTCAGTATTAGAGGAGGTCTTTGGTGAATTCATCATAGGGAGGGAAGCATCATCAAGCTGAATGTTGAAATTTCCTTGCAGTCGCATCACAGGTATGCCATCAATTCCAACAGAAGTAACAGAAGATCCGAGAGTGACTGATGACTGAACATTGTTATTTTTCGATGCTACGAACACCCTCTCTGTTCCTAAGGCATCCACTATCTGGCCCTGGTTGAGTGAGGTACTAAGCTCCTGGGAGATGGATGTGAGAGTTTGATTGAGCTGAGTTTGCGAATTTGCAGTTTGAACCTGGCCAAGTTCAAGACTTGTGGCTTGTAGGTTACGTGTGTTGAAAGCAGATGAGTCATGCTGCCGTGATACTGGTACACGCACTGCAATCAGGCCATCACTGCCCTTTGTTGCTTGCTGATTTGAACTCTGCAAC